TCCAATCTCGTGTCCACCGTAACTGTTTTCAAGCTATTTCAGAAATATTTCGGGATCAGAACTGGCTAGACTTCGGAAGATCTAGAGATAGTCCACGGCAAGCTCAGTTCCAAGTTAGGTAAGATCCGTGGGCTTTACCATCAAATTTCTCTTAAGAAAACTCTAAATCTTGCCTTAGTTAATTCGTGAACCTTTGGAACAGATTCCAGTTCAAAGACTAAGGCAAAATCGTTCGTAAAAGTCTAAGGCAAACGCCCGTAGAAACCTTTGGCAGAATCGCGATCATTCGTTAAGTCAAAGGTGAGTCTCGGAGATGCTTGTTGCGTGTTTATTTAATTTGGAAGTGAGGTTCGCTGCCGTATAATTAGTATATTTGCTAAGTAATGCTTAAAAGCTTTACCATGTGAAAATTACTAAGTTGAATTATTGATGCAAAGTTATAAGTTTTCTTATAACTTAAATTGTTAGTAAAACTGATAAAATTATGATGATCGCGGTAAGACGTTCCCTTGAAGCCATGACTTAGCTAATACGTTGAATATTAGTTTAAGTACATGAAGACACGGAGAGACGGGATTGCAGCCTTTGGCCGTGTACTGCATGACGATGCATAATTTCCGGTGCGGATTTTTATATACATAAGGCCATTGGAACGGTGAAGGATCTTAAGTCTTTAGCCTTTGTGGCTTCGGGCTGATGGATACCTTGTGATTTGACGTGGAGGGAAATAGTCTACGCGAAAGGCCTTATATTAACATTGCATAACTTATCGCATTTTTTTATTTGCTTGCTTGCGTGTTGATTGTTATTTTAGATTTGGTTGGGAATTGATTATTGAATGTTAGGGGAGCCTAGACTCACTGAGCAACTAGTGCTCATGACTCTACTTGTGTTGCAGGTAACCATTAGCGGGTACCACCGGGAGCCAAAGGAACGTTAGGAAATTCAGCAGTAGATTTCCTTGCCTTTTGTAAATGAATAATGTTTATTATGTACATGATCYTTTTGGAGTGTTAGACTCACAATTGTATATGCTTGTATCACGTTTAAAACTTATGTATAAATTATATAAAAAAAAAAAATCGAGTTTGCATAAATTCGGGTTTCATGTGATACTAGTCCTTGTCCGGACGAACTAARCATTGTGTATGTCTCGGGTTGGCAAGCCTTGAGATGTATCTAATGGGGACAAACGCTTAGAAGTCTTGTCTAGGAAATTTGGATATTTCTAGGAACCTCTGACCGGACATATAAGTGTTCGTCAGTAGCGTTTCCGGTCTATAAATGATCGGGGGCGTTACACGCAGGGTGTGTGTCGACTTGTGAGAAGTCGCGATTTTGGGTGTTGCGTCGATCGATACAACACAAGGTTTGTGTGTCGATCGACAAAAGCTGGAATTGAACCGGTTTGATTCGATTTGAGTCGTCGGTTCAGCTCGGTTTAGGGAAAAACCCTAGGGCTTCCCTATAAAGAGGATGTGGCCGCGATTTTGGTCATTTTTAGTTTCCAGAAAGTTTTCAGAGAGTTCCAGAGGGTTTTTCCAGTGAGTTGGGAGAGGATTTGAGAGAAAAAAAGAATCATTGTTGATTTCTTCCTGTTCTTGATCCTGAAAGCTCGTGTGTGTGATTGCGAGATTCTGGAACTAGGATTCGATCCGTGTTCTTCGTGGTTGAGGAAGGAATCTGGATTTGGAGATCTGACCAGTCGTGTTCTTCGTCGATTTCTTATCTTTTTCTATCCGAAATCGAGGTGAGTGCGTGACCACGACTTATCTGGGTAAAAGAATGAATTCCAATGCGTTTGTGTGATGAATTGATTATTGTTTCTTATTGATATGGATGATTTTGTGTTATTGGATGTGTTTGTTGACGGTTTCTGTACAGGAGATCGACTCGAGGCAGAGCCGAATCGGACCAGAGAG